ATAATTTAGTCCTGAAGACGCTCGTCCAGATGACGAGAAACCCTAGTCAATTTATAGGTGCACCAAACAAACACAATACTAGGGATGCGGAACGACCAGATCAAAATATCTTTGGGAAATGTATAGAATCTGGTTGTTTTAGAAATTGCCATTACTTTTACAAATATGGGAGACATTTATAAAAATGTTATAGTTGTCGACAACACAATTGCCATTACAAATTGCTCCGTTATATAATAATAATCTGGATCCAGAGTTAGGCACCGGAAGTGCCATGACTATTTAACGTATAAAGGAGCAATTAAGGCATAGCTCGACTCGCTAAAATGGATAATTCTCTTTATAATAATACACCATTTGAGCGTTAACCCTGAAGGTTACATATGGCTGTGTGCATGAAAGAGAAATAAGAATAATGAGGTGATGAAGCGAGTTTGTAGCCTATGGGTTCGCGCAGAGACCCTTAATTAATTTTTTAATCAAATATACTCTCCCACGGGGTAAATGGCATTAAGTTCCGCTACATAATACAATTGGCAGAATAATAAATTTAGATATGCAGTTAAATTTATTTTGAGAAATCCTGGATGGATTCATAATTCTCGAAATGAGGATTTATTTAAGTATTATTACGTGTCATTATTTACTCTTTAAAGGGTTGCGAATGGAGTTAATATCCTCATTGAAGGAATAATATGTACCATTGTGTGCTCGATAAAGGGTTGATAATGAACTTATTTATTATTTATTATCTCAGTCAAGATTGATGGTGTAAACATCAATGAAATATATAAAGAGCTTGATAATGTCAGTTCATGTTTAAAGACTGAGACATTTGAAATAAAAAGCTTGTGAAAGCTATAAGTATTATCTCGACTTGAAGATCGAGTTTTTCTTTGAAGATTTTTTTTATATACACCAGTCAGCCTACATCTAAAAATGCTTTTTCACATGTCTATATCCATATAAGTGTCATGTTTTTATCAAACTAAAGGTTGCCTAATAATCTCTTGAAGCAGATAAGGAACCTTTTTGGACTCGAAGTCCCTTACTTCATTATCGTTGGAGCACCATTGTAGAACCAGAAGTTCCATAATCGCAACATATTTGCGATTAAATTGCTAGCAAAATCTAGTGTTCCCTTACAAATGAAGTACTTGAATAATGATTAAACATATCCTCCGGTATCTTCGAGATACAAAGACATGACATTTATGTAATAAACCATGATACGGTTTTAATAGGTTACTTGGGTACTGGCTGTTTTGTTTGATCCCTACAATGCCAAGTTCAAACTGGTTATACAATGAATTTCCCTAAATGTTCAAAATGAGGACAATAACACTTGTGTTGCACAAATGTTATATGAGCTCTAGAAGAGCCATAAGATTATTAGATATTTACTCTAGTGACAATCCAGAAGATTTGTCCAATCCATTTCTTCAAATTTTTGAAATATATGTAGAACTTGAAGATTGTTATCTTCAGGGGGAGACAGGAAGTACATTTACTCGAATCAATCCGGAAGATTGAATGTAAAATCCTGAAGATTAAGTCATAAAAGACTAACAGTTGCGCATTATTTGCAACACATAAATACATCAATATCATGTACTCTTTTCCTCACTAGTTTTCTCCCATTGGGTTTTTCTAGTGTGGTTTTTAACGAGGCATGAGTATGATATATGAATGTAAATGGGGAAAAGTTGCAAAATAATTGCTTAAGTAGACAAACCCCAAAATCCTGAAGATTATGCCGATTGTGCCCTGAAGGCTTATGGTTGTACTCTTTTTCCCTTAGCTAAGTTTTTCCCACAGGGTTTTCTTAAGTTAAGGTTTTTAATGAGGCGACCAATACAATATATGTTTTTACATATATCATGTACTCTTTTCTTCAACTAGGTTTTTCCCACGTGGTTTTCCTAGTGAAGTTTTTAATGAGGCATGAATATATTTTCTATTGTACATTTTCTTGTCTAGGTTTTTTCCACAGGGTTTTCCTAGCAAGTTTTTATCAAAGCAAGATTGTGGACAAATAATGTCCAAGGGGAGTGTTATAAACATATTTAGTGGACATCATTTGTAACGGATGTAACGGATGCTTTGATTGCTCATTATGTATATTTATTTATATTCTTTGTAATGGACACACTATATATCATGGTGTGGAGATGAATGAAAAGAGGATCCTGACCTTTCCCTCTCCACTCTCTGTCTTTTTCTGTTTAACATTTACCTCTTAATTATGCCATGTAGTGCACACCCAAGATAACCAAAAGATAAAATATAATTTAGTGGTGATGCATGCATGCATTGCTGACACCCATTAAATGAATAATCACACATGCACATTAAAGCGATAATACTTAGCTCAAGGAAGAGGCCAGCATTAGACACATTGTAACACCCCCTAATTTTTAAAGCGATTAAAAGCTTATATAAATAACACAATCTACCATTAATCATCCCAAACAGAGCATAAACTAAACACAATTGTCGGGGTGCTATGCCACATCTAGGTTTGAGAACCTAGATGCACATGCTAAACTAACTAAACAAGGTATAAACTATAATTAATATTCGTTTACACAATTCAAGGCTCACAGGCCGTCTAACTACCACTAAGTTAGATCGACGAACCGTCTAACGCGCTCCTTAGCTAAAGACTGTCACCTGAAAAACACATCGTAGCAACCGTCAACGAATAATGCTGAATAACCCAACCCACGCGTTGAGTAAAATAAATATAAATATCGAAAATCATTTTGAAACTGGAATACATATATAGTCTAAGCAACACTAGTCTTAAACCAAGATCAAGACTTGAGACACAACAATGGACTCGACATTATAGAACAATCATAAAGACTACCATGCATCCTAAGAACACGATACAAGACATAATAGATAAATAAGCTCATAAAAAGCAAATAGATGCAACAATGGGATTCAAGGACAATCAATTAGCAAGTAGTCATCAAGCACACAATCCATCTTCCAACCTTATACCAAGTTCCAACCTTTTCACTCCACTCCATCCTTATTTCAGTTCCAACCTGTACCTCCAGGCCACCCTTATCCCTCCTTCCTTATTCCTCCGGAACAACTACATGCCCCACTCCGTAACCACCAACAAGTCCACCAACATGGTAGCACTGAAGAGTCATTCGCATGGTCCATACCTCTAGTACCAATACCAAGGGGTTAGCGCATATAGCTCTAACATGACACCGCGGCGCTTATACCCTGACCCAAGCCTTTAGCCAGCAAGTCTAAGGGGTGGTCCGTGCCTTTATCACGATAACCGAGCACTCGTTGTGCTATCCGCCAACAATTCATTTCCACCAATCACAATCTCATCATCATCAGTCACATCGATCATTGCGCAATGACCACGATACCCATCATCATTCAATCAATCAACATATAATCAATCAATAACAATCAAGACATAATAACAATAATATGCACTACACATAAATTCCTATGATGGTACTCAAAACATCAAACAGGGAAAAATACCATGCCATTCCAACGGGTGGGCGGTGGGTGGTCTTTTTTCCGCCACCCGCCAATGGCGACACTGTTCGAGCGGGTGCCCGGCGGGCAGTCGCCTGCCCGCCGGCTGCCCGCTGGAACTAGGCAGCGGGTAGGTGGTGGGGATTCGTCCCCCCACTGGTACTAAGGTAGAAATCCGGTTTCGGGGTTCGCCCGTGGAACTCAAAACCATGTCCAAACACATTCCAACACGTAACAACAACATCACGGATTCAATTAACGAAGATTAGACCAAGAATCATTCCAATTACGTTTTAACACGATTTCCAAACATGCCAAGACTCGATATCAATCACATAACGATTTAGGAGCATCCGGAACCACAAGAATACCAAGAAATCTATATGCAAAGCCTTAAAAACAAGTCCTAGGCTAGACTCAACACCCGATCATGCATAAACCCACCCAAGTATACCAAGAACATCACATCAACAAGATTCACGGTATAAACCCTAAGGACAAACTCTAGACATAATTAAAATACAAGATTACACATATGGTCAATCACAACATCAAGATCACCAAGATTATCAAATAAATACAATATAATTCATAGGCAAAGCTCTATCAAGACTCAATCACAGAATCACACATCAAAGGAGCCAATAATCAAGATATAGCAAGGAAAATAGGTTTTGTAAGACATGAGTTACCTCTTAGCCCTAATCAATATCCTTGGCTACTAAGGTTTTTCTCTAAGATTCTTCTCCCAATTGATCTTCCTAGGCTTCGCTAGTACAGATTTGACTTAAAAAATTAGACTATTAGCATCTGTTATATGAAAAAGAGATACTGAAAGAGGTACGGTGGCAATCTTGTAATTTGTAGATAACAATTAGCAACAGTTGTATTAATACGATTGACTAAAAAAGTGGAGCGGGCACTTAGGAAATAAATAAAAATAAAACCCTAGACGTAGAATTAATTTCACTTTTGGTCCCACGACTTTTGAGTTCTTATCACTTTTGGTGCACAACTTTAAATTTTTTCAATTTTGGTGCATAACTTAGTTATTTTTATCAGTTTTGGTCCTTCCAGCCAAATTGACGGTAAAATATTTCCAGATTTTATATTTTAGGGGCAACATCGTCATCTCATGGAAAGATCTTCAATATTTAAATAAAAGAAAAATCATATTAAGAGTAAAAGAAGAGTTTGTCAATCGTCGAAACTATAAATCCCCATAGATCTGTTTGGTTTCTTCCTGTCTTCTCCATTATTCTCATCATCAAACACCTATAGATATGATTTTACAGTGATTTTGGGATGACGATTTTACCCCTAAAAATATAAAATCCAGCAACATTTCGCTGTCAATTTGGCCGAAAGGACCAAAACTGATAAAAATAACAAAGTTAGGCACCAAAATTAAAAAATTTTAAAGTTGTGCACCAAAAGTGATAGAACATCAAAAGTCGTGGGACCAAAAGTGAAATTAATTCCCTAGACGTACCCTCCAAACACAGATCTAAGCTCTTCTCTATCTCTAAGCTCTGGCAATTGACGACGGCGGCAAGTTGGACTCCTCTCTCAGATCGACGAAGGCGGGTATCTCCAGACTCCAGCGATCGATGACGACGATGGCTTGAAATCCTCTCTCTATAGTCTACGAAAGTGGCATCAGCAGCGGCAGTGTTTGATGGAAATATTGGCGGCGTGAGCAGCGGCGACGGCACCAGCTCCGGCGTTGCTGCGCTTCCTCAGGTACGTGCGGTTGCTTTCTTTCATTTATTTAACTACTCAAATTGTAATTTCAGTTTTAAATTTAAAGTTTATATATGTCAATGTCGTTCGAGACTACAGATTGAAGATCGAGAAGGAGCTCTAACCATCTAAACATGTACTAGTGTTTTTTTATAATCTTGATTGAGTGTTCACTGGTGTTAGGTTTTGTTAATGCAATGCTATTTTCCATATCACTGGTGTGTGTGTGTGTGTGTTTTTTGTCTCTCTACGGTTGACTGGCCAATCCTCAGGGAGGGTTACTGGTTTCTCGGTTTGTTTGCTGCAGGTAATGTCATTGCTTCAACAAGGAAACATTAACAGAACCACAGATCCAGCTCGTGTCAACTAAACATCGTCATGCTGTTAGTCTTTATATGCTGTGAGTTATTTGTATTAAGAGAGCATGCTGCAACTAAACATTATCATGATATTGTATATGCTCTATTTCTTTCTTTTTCCTTTCCTCCCCCCCCCCCCCCCCCCCCCAAATTATTCTCTTTTTCTTTTTCTTTTGTAATTTTTCCCACTGAGCACCATCTAATTACTTTGGCATATCCTTCAATAGTGGTTTATGACACGATTTATTATTTATTTGTTTTTACAGGCTCAAAATTATGAGTTTGTTTCAATTTTCAATCTTGTGGATTATAAGTGTGTATGCCTTTTATTTCTATGCTTAAATTATGGATGAGTACATAGCTTAGGTTTTATTTGTCCCACATTACAAACTAATTGGAATTCAACATTTCTATTGTAAGAAGCAATATATCTGGTTTTTCAAAATTCTGCCCATTTTTTGCTTGTGATATAATAATGTGGTGTGAGGTGAATAAGCAATATTAATAATGTGCAGTAAGATGTTAGAATCTGCTGTCTTAGATCCTGCTGATAGACCAGGGTGACATTCCTTAACTGTAAGTAGGCTTGGATAAGTAATTGTTTCTAAATCACCATTATTTATCTATATTTATGGATTATTATGTATGGTTATTAGTTAATTAGGATATATTATTATTGATGAATGAATTGAATGTAATATTATTAGAATATATATATTATTATTGTCTCTAAATCACCTTTATTTATCTCTATTTTCAACAACCCTTTTGTTTTACTGAGAAATGGGAATTAAGCAGATAAAAAGAAAGAATGTTGTTGTAGTAATTTGTTTAGGTCCTGTTCAAGTTTAAAATTTCTCCCATTTTCATGGCGGTGTGCTTGTGTAAGTTAGTTCTCTTATGTTGATGTTGTATCCATTAGTTCTCTTATGCTAATGTTGTATCCATTAGTTCTTTTATGTATATTCAGAATAACCCAAGTACTCTGAGGTGTGAAATTTACTTACACAGATACAAAGGAGGGAAAACAGTATTCAATCATTTGAAAAGCTTCACCAAGTGAACTTATGGACCATTTATTATTCTATCTGTTTGTGTTTGGTCTCCCTTCTTTCACTTGATATTACTTGTAGGAGTTGAATATGTATTAGTACTTATCCCTTTACTGCAACATTCAGCTCCCATGAACTTCACTTTACCTGCTATGTTGATGTTTTGTCCCCAGCGGTCATTCTCGCCTTCAGAAATGGTTTGCTTCATGAACTCCTTCACTTGCACAAGAGTTAGAATTGCTTTAGGCACAACACATGCCATTAAGTAAGTTGTTCTTTTATCTTTCATGTAATTAGGGCTTTTAGATTCCATTCATGAGGATGGTGTAAATCTTCTTTATATCTTTGATTGCCTTTATATGATATGGATTTTAAATGAACATTGGATTCAAATACAGCAACTTGAGCAGGACCGCACAATCAGTATAAAATTTAATGTCATTCATGTTTTATTCATGTATAAAACATGTATGTTGCAAAGAATATGGAAGCAGACAAAATGAATGAATTAATTATCAATGAATTGAATTTGCAGGATGATAGAAGATGACAAGGTAATAGCAATAATGTGTGTTGATGACCCTGAGTTTTATCATTACAAGACTTTGGAGAGATAACTCAACACTGTTTTGGTGATATTATATATATAATGCCAGAAGTTTGCATATTTCATCTTCAATTGTCTGATGATGATTTTGCTTATGTTCAATTCTTTATTGCCCATCCTTCATTATTTGTGAATAGACAAGAATGAGAAAAAAAAAATCAGTGAAAGTGAGACTTAGCCTGCAAAAGAGGGGTTGTTGCTGCTATCTAAAAATTCATGTAAGTTGATCCAACTACCCCTACATCTACATGGCATATATATGAACATTCATGGTTTAATTTATTTATTTATTGTTTTATGTTTACTATTATTATGTAGTGTAGGCAAAGGAAAAGAAAAACAATGAAGGAAAGATTTTGATTATATAATATGTTTGCTATATATATATTACTTGAAATAACTTCTTAGTTCCAATTGGTTTTTTTTTTCTTTTTGGTTTGTTTACTTTTTACTCTTAAGAATGAAGGATAATATAACATTATTGATTGATGGATTGAATGAAAGAAAAACAGTGAAGGAAAGATTTTGATTATATAATATGTTTGCTATATATATATATATATATATATATATATATATATATATTACTTGAAATAACTTAGTTCCAATTGGTTTTTTTTTTTTTTGGTTTGTTTACATTTTACTCTTAAGAATGAAGGATAATATAACATTATTGATTGATAGATTGAATGAAATATTTTTGTTGGGGTATGAATGATTAAATAATTGGATTATGTTGATATAGGGTTGGAAAGGGATTTCACCATGATCATGAATAATCAAAAATTTATATTTATTTTTTTATAAAAAGTATATATAGGCGTCTGTTCCTTTGAAAGAACAGACGTCTAAGTATAATTTTTTTCATAAAGACGAAGAAGAGGCGTCAGTTCTTTTTAAAGTACGTACGCCTATAATTGACTTTAGGCGTCAACGAACAACCGACGCCTAAAGTGATACCTTTTAGCGTCTGTTGTACGACAGACGCCTATTGCCTTTCAAATAGACGCTGATGAACTGCTTTGTACTAGTGAAACTTGCTGGTGGGGGATTTCCTTGGCTGGATTACCTGAGACTATTTTCGAGTGAGAAGGAGGTGAGGAAGGGTACTATCTGCTTCCTAATCTTCTATTTTTATGTTTAAGGAAAACCTATTCAGAGTCTGAATAATAACGCCAACTTTCCTTATTCCCTATGGGTTTAAGGTTCCTAGTTCAGGCAAAGGTTCACGATTCATTGCGGACCGCCTGGATTTATTAAGAGAATTATAATTGGATTAAATCCCTCTTAATTATTTTAATTAACGGAATCAATTTAATAATTAATTTGGGCTTGAAGGCCGTAACACGGGGTGTTAATTACACCCTCCCTCCCTAACAGAAAGCTTCGTCTCCGGAGCTTAGACACGATGTGGTCGAACCTAACTCCTTAGCCTAAGGTCTAGTGTATGTTATCTTGCGCGAATAGTTCCGGGAAGCGTTCCCTCATGGTGCTTTCGAGTTCCCATGTCGCCTCCTCGGTTCCGTGATTGGACCAGAGGACTTTAACCATCTCTACAGTCTTTCGGCGGGTTTGTAACACCCCCGATTTTCATGCCATTTTAAACTTAAATAAGCAAGATAAAATAACCACAAAAACATAAAGCATAGCACATCGGAAGTCTACTATTAAAAACCGGGAAAAGTGAGTGTTATGCCACGTTCACACCAATGTGAACGCACAGACAAAAACTAACATCAATAATCTAATATGTTCAATAGAAGAGGCACACAGGCCCAAAACACAATCTAAACTGTCTAGGGAGTCTAATCTAGCCATGTCTAACGCGCTCGCCGACTACTCAGGACCTGAAAAAACACATAAAGAAATGGGACGACGCCCGATCAGCGAATAATGCTGGTAACCCATCAATACGCGTCAATAGCATATATATAGATAGTTTAATACAAAATCATTTTCGAAACGGAATACAGTATATATTAGTTCAAAATCATCAAGAGAGAAGTCAACTGCAAAGACTCTATTTCACTTTCAATAAGGACAAGGGAAATCAACATCCCAAGACAACATCAAGACACGAATAACAACAGAACACTCAACAACATACAAGATGTAATATACTGATCACAAAGCAGAAAACATCAAGACAAAGACAACAACAACAACAAGTATAAATCGAGGCATATTCTACTAGTCACAAAGTAGAATACCACTCGACATGCTTATCAGAAAAGATAGACAATCACACATTGGCAACACATGCCATCGTGACACTACATGTCACATGTTCCAACCTTATGCCCTGTTCCAACCTTATGCCTACCCCCGACCATATTACAGTTCCAACCATTATCTCTGAGAACCCCTGAACTTCTGAGTCCAACCTTATGCCTCCATGAACCCTCGTTCCCCTGCCAACAACCGCCAACAAGTAGTTCACGAGGGTACCGTTCATATCAATCACACCACCGCCAACAAGTGAGCCTGAAGTGCATGAGCCTGAAGCCCATAAAACTACTCCATAATATCATTTCGAGGCCACCACGAGGACCACTTCTGTACCTTGGTGATTAATGTCTCATTCCATTCATCGTGCAATCCAGGTACAGCCAACACACACATCATCATAGGAATCAATCAACGGATCACAATAAAGATATGAAACCATATTCAATCAAGGAAAGATTACAATCCGAAAACAACGATGATCAACACAAGTTATCATCCACAATAGGAAAGAACAAACCACACACGCTAGCATTTCAACATCAAACAAGCATGCTTATCAAACGGGTAAACCAAACATAGTTCCGAAGAACATACAAGACTCATCACGGTTCAACGAATCACAAGGTTGAACACTTAGCACGATTCAAGACACCAAAACCTACATGGATTCCTACCATATAGTTCTAGACATACGAAACATCAATAAGACACTCAAATAGTTCAACAAAAGAACATCGGAAAGTCAAAACATCAATTACCGAGTCAAAAGAATCACGGGAACAAATCGCCAAACAACCAACATCATTGTACCCCGCGGGTGGAGCCATGGGTGGACCCCCACCCGTGGTTCCGCCCGCGGGAACCACTTCCCAAAAGGCATGTACCCCGCGGGTGGGGCGGCGGGTGGACCCCTGCCCGCCATTCCGCCCGCGGGTACACTACTCTGTACCAAAATAATCCCTTCGGGGATTTTCAACACCAAGTCCAAATTCAAGCCCAAAACACCCAAAATCTCACAAAATACAACAATATGACTTGAACCAAAGGAATAGCCAAGCAATGGCATACAAGAATCCTAATAACAAGCTCTAGATATGCATTCTCACAAGACAATGCATCAAATCTCACATTTCATAGCAAAAATCACATGTAGAAGTCAAGAAATCATCATATAGGTAAGAAAATAAATTTTGTAAAGCATGGGTTACCTCTTGTAGTCTAAACCTTCACTTATTACACATTTACAAGCTTCTAACAAGGCTCTCCTTCAACCCCAACTTCAAGAACACACCAAAAGACAACAAAGATTTCATCTTTAGAAAAAGACACATTAAAAAGCACCAAAAACACTAAAGGACCAAAGATCTTACCCTCCTATATGCTCAAGAGTAAGAAAGGTGGAATCTTGGAGACCAACTCGGAAGATCTTGGAATGCCCAAACTTGGCTTAAAGAAGAAGCTAGCTAAATTCTAGTGAGAAGGACGAGCTCTTGTTTTGAGAGTGTTAGGGAAAGAATGAAAGATGACTCTAGGTTAGCTTGGGATACAAGCATAAGGTGAAAAGTCTTCTTTACCCTTACTAAAATGATAAAGTGTAAGGAGACAAGGGAACCATTCATGAAGCTTAGGGTACAACCCATTGACTTAGATTGACTAGTCAATTACTAGTCCTTGAGTATTGAATTTTCAGGATTTTTAGGAATAAATCATCAATTAGGTTAGGATTAATTACTTAATTAATCCCTAAATAGAATTTGGATTTACGGGGTGTCACATGGTTTCTCTTGTCTTTGTGTCCAGGATTTTCACAAGCTTTTCTTCGTAGGATAAGGCATCATCCAAACACACTATTTCGGGTTGTAGTACGTGAGTCACGTCGTGTATATATTTCTTTAGTTGCGACACGTGGAATACGTTGTGTACCCGCTCTAGTTCGACTGTCAATGCGAGGTCGTAAGCCAAGTTCCCGACTTTTTCCAGGATTTCGTAGGGACCAATAAATATAAGACTTAGCTTCCCTTTCTTCCTGAATCTCATCACTCCCTGAGTGGGTGAAATCTTTAGCCAAACCTTTTCTCATGCGGAGAATTCAGCTTGTTTCCTTCCTACATCGGCGTAAGACTTTTGGCAGTCCTATGCAGCCTTCATTCTCTCCTGTATGTGTTTGACTTGAATTATAGTGTCTTGTAAATACTGTTGTCCCAGAGTCACTGGATTGACCATGTCTTCCCAACATATGGGAGTCCTACACTTTTGGCCATATAGCGCTTCGTAGGGTGCCATACGGACCCTTGCATGATAGCTGTTGTTGTAAGAGAATTTGATTAGATCTAGATGTTCCTCCCATGTTCCCTGGAAGTCTAACATACAGGCTCTCAACATATCTTCGAGAGTTTGGATCGTCCTCTTGGTTTGGCCGTCGGTAGTGGGGTGGAAGGCGGTGCTTAATTTTAGTCTTGTCCCCATGGCCGCTTGCAGTGATTTCCGGAATTGCGAGAGGAATCTGGGGTCTCTATCAGAAATGATGTTTCGTGGAACCCCGTGATATTGGACTACCTGATTTATGTAGGCTTTGGCTAGTTGTGTCATTGTCCACATCTCTTGCCCCTAAGTCACATAAGGCTCTCTGAACAAGGGATCCTCCAATAACATAAGGGATAGAGAAACTCTCAGGATCCCTAAGCTTTGGAAGAAGCTTGTTTTGAATTAAGGCACTGCATTCTTCACTTACTGCTACTGCCTCACAATCTTCAGATCTCCTCTTGTTGGATAGAATTTCTTTCAAAAACTTAACATACGAGGGGATCTCAGTGATTGCATCAAGCAAAGGAATGGAGGTATCCAGTTGCTTGATTAAACTCAAAAAATTTTCCCTTCTTTCCTCTACCTTAGATTTCTTGAATTTTTGTGGGAAGGGTAGAGGTGGTGTATGTTTCTTCACGGGCTCAATTTCCTGTATCTCATCTTTCTTGTCTTGGGCAACAACATCTTCATTCACTTTCTCATTCTCATCTTCCAGGTTCCTCTTGACAAATTGTTCACTGTTGGGATACGGAGGATCCAGTAGTTGCTTTCCACTCCTAGTAGTGATGGCATTCATG